AGATATGAACTTCGCAGAAAACCTATATAGCCTAGACGGCGTTGTCAGACGATTGTGACCCTATGTATCTGGCATCTAACTCACGTATTCAAAGGAACTTCAGTTAATTATACTGAAATCCTTAGCCATAATAGTAATTTTAAATTTGGTCAGAAATTTTCTTTATTACTTTTTCCTATGGTCATGTGAGCCAAACACTAAAATGAGTTAACTAATTGTTTGGTTGTATTACACACAATGCAATCTTCTTCCATTGATTTCTAATTCTTCCTTGAAGTCATTTTTCTCAGATCTATTTTATTTTGAATAAATCTATATATTTGGGCCAGGCGACTCCTTTTGCTAATCTTATCGATTCAGGAGAATTAGGAATATGCCTAGTTATACGTGTTTCAAATATCAAAGTAAACAAAGTAAAAGTTATTCAGAGAATGCAATTTTATAATATAGGTAGATATAATAAGATATAAAAAGCAGATATACCACAGCCAAGAAAAGACTAATACAGTCTGGGAATGGATCACATTTTACAGCAGTTTTAACGATAAGGCAAGAAATCTAGAGATACTGATACAAAATACTCAATATTATGCTTAATATTAATAAGCAATAATTAATTTATTTAATCACTTTGAAGTATTTTATTTTAGAAGGCTTAATCTGCCCAGAGGCGACTCGTAATAATACTTGAGAATCCACATAGCATTTTAAAAAGTAAAATGCAGTAAAAAAATTTCTTCAATAAAAAATATTATTAATTAGTTTTGATTAGTTTATGAGGACAATTAACATAAATAACATACAAATGTTATGCTGGCACGAATCAAAATACCTATCTGCGCGTTTGCGCGTTTACGAACAGCGTCTATTATCTTATGCCTCCTCATTTGGCAGGAGAGATCAGAGCTTTTAGAAAAGAAAGGAGACAATTAATCAAATTGTTTAAAGAAATAGAGAAGACGTTTACAAATCTCAGAAATGATGTTATAAATTGGCCTTTACTTGTTTCATCAGGTGATCCTCCTGAATTTCCTACGGACATACAACAAAATATTCGAAAGATATGTGAGAACGAAATAGCCATAGTTATTTTGGGTCAATCGAACTTTGCAAAGGCTGTAGTAATTAATCAGATATTTAACAGACTACTTCTACCCGTTGACTCACATGTTAACAAAGATATATGGCGTCAAATCGTACTTCACAGTGGTCAAGAAAACGTGGCATCTCTATGTGTTCTTGAAACTTCGTTTGATCTTGGAGAATGCACGGTATTTGATAATGAATCCTATCTTCAAGGTGAAATTTTGATTGAAAATGATGCTCATTTGTAAGTCAACCTAAACATTTTATTTAATAATAAAAATTAAAAGTCTGATTCTTTTGTTATTTTTAATTTTTAGCTGTGATGTTGCTAAATCTAGCTGCTTTGTGGATGTATCACTAAGAAATGGCATTTTTTCTACAGAGAATCTTACCATTGTTGTATCTGCCAGTTACAGACGTCTTTCTTCCGAAGAGGTTGCGGCTACTTTTGAGAGGAGTTGTTTCGGACGCTTACCTATTATTATCTACGCGTTTGAAAGTGAAGAGCTATCTTCTTGGGTAGGCTGAAAAATAGGTTTTACATAATTTGAATCAATGAAATATATAATATATAATAAGTATGCCTCATACCTAGTTGCCATTTTTTGATACTTAAAGCATAGTGATAGTACTACTATCTTGCCTATATGCTTTATTATCTCAGTTCACATTTTGGCATTATAAATGTCATTCAAATATATTCTTACGGTCGTATTTTATCAAAAAGTTTACTTTTAACAGTCTTTTCTAATTTACAGTTATTCTTCTTTTGATAAAATAATGTTTTTGTAAACAAAGCCCCGCTCTTATAAAGTTTTGAATCATAAGTATTCAACTCCTGGTTGTGTCTGGAAAAGGTGCTCTACAATGTTGCTTTAAAATGTGCTTTGAATTTAAAAAAATGAAATCAATGCTTATGAGGCCTCATTCCCGCACATATTACTCACTACATGTTTAACATGATTTCGGCTTTAGCCAGTATTTGATCCAGATTAAGGGTTAAATAAAATAATTGATTAAAACTTTACACCATGCAAGAAATGGGTCAAAATCTTTTAAATAACAGGTAGCTCATTTGATAATTTTATTTGGGCTGAACGTTGACTTGGAATAAAAAGCATAAGTAAGCAGAATAGGATACAAACTTTGTATTGGATAGATGTGATATATTTTTTTGATCCTTCCAGATTTAACTCGATAGCAATAAAATCAGTGCAATATTTGGAAACTTACCATGCTAACCTCGAGATAGCCTCCTATGTGTGTACCAATTAGTTAAGTTTAAGATATTAATTTTATCAGCATAATAAACATACATGATGATAATACAAAAGAAAGGCCCGATGCTCCTTCTGGATGAGACATACAGTATCAGAACCAGGAGAAAATCCCTTTTCTTGTTTAAAACTTTCCGATACATTTAGTTATTCTATAACATACTGCCTTTGCAAAGATGTTACCTCAACGAAGGCTATATTCCTCAAAATTTGGTTGTATTAACTAATATACGACGGTTGATGACTTTTCTGGTTTAAAATTATTTTGTGTGCTATTTTGAATTTTGAACGCTTATCAATATTTCTAATGGACTTTACTAAAGTTAGTAGCGGAATAATTATTACAGAATGTGTAAATAAATCAACCTAGCAGCATCTCCGATATTTATCCAAAATTGGTTTTAAATCTTGGACGCCCCTGCGATATCTGGTTGTTTTCAAAGCGAATCTGTGAGGGACTATCAACAAATAACATGTCAAATAACTAGTGTGAACTGGTCAATAGGATTGAATCCAAAAATATTAGAAAAAAATTCTCTTCATTTTTTTTCTTGTGGTTTTTATATTAAAATTCGCTTGCTACTTAATATTAGTTTTTCTTAATTATGAATTTTTAGTCGCTTTTAAACTTATGCAAACGGAATAATGTCCTTCGTCCAGCTGGATTATTTTTTATAACCCATAATTTTCTTTGTACTAGAGTATTTAAGCCTAAATAGCTTTTTATTGGCAAAATTACAAAGTATTTGGTACAGGAATCTAACCTTTTAATGCGTTATCAAACTACCTTAACGGTTATTTTTTAGCCTCGTACCTTTCTTCGAGGCTTAATGGCATTAGGATTTCGTCTAACTTCCTGGAGCCATGTTTAAGAAATAACCCCGTTAATTACTCAAATAAGAATTGGCTGCTGGCTATTGAGCAAGCAAACCAGCTTACCAATAGGTGCAGAGCTTCAAGTCTGTAATACAAATATCCCCAAATCCTGGTATAAAATGTACTACAGCCAGCTTTGGTATGACAATATATTTTAGCTCTAGATATATACTGAATAATGGGCCGTCAATATGAACGTTTTAATCTGTGTGCTTATGTTGTTTTAAGTAAAGGTCAATTCGATACACGAAAGAGTTTGCTTTATTTCTCCTAGAGGTCACATTTCAAATATTCATATTTACTTTTAAAGAAACCAAGGAAATTTGATTATTTTATACTTTAATACTAAATACTCACAAACTTTTCCTATACATATTTTATGATTAGGCAGCTTGTCTATCCCCATTGCTTGGGTTTCAGGCACTAATCGGTTGCAGACTAATTTTCTATTGATCTGACGGATTTATTGCTTTAGTTAGTTCATATTGTAATACTCCTCTCTCATGCTCACTCTGTGTCCTTTAAAATGGTCTAACCACATTTTTTAGAAAAATAGCGTTAAAAATTTAGCAGCTTCATTCAAACTTCACATATGACCCTCTAATCAGCTGATATTACTCGAATATCCGATAGCCACAAGTGGCTTGTGGTCATCGCTATACATCATGATAATTTTAAATGGATGTGTAGAACTGCCTTGATCAGCTTGTGAGTGCATGGGTGTTCTGAGGCTATAGATATGTCAGTTAGTCAGCCAAGTTCACGCCTAATTGCTAAAACTTGACATTATATCTATGTGATGCAATATTACTGGGTACGAAACTTGATCGCATT